TTGAACTGCAGGAAGTCGGGCTCTGCACACGCCTTTCTTGCCATCCTCCTCTCCGCCATACTGACCTTTCCTTGACTTTCCACTAAGACAAAAACACAAAACTTGAAGCAGCCGCAGTCTGCCAACCTGCTTGCGCAGCCGCTGCCCTGCAGCACAAAGTTCAGCGTTTGCTCGGCCAGACAGCAGCTGTTTGCTCACACTGTCATTCATTTACCTGCATATCTACAGCTTTGTTAACTCACCTGAAACAGACATAGTTTGACCAGTGCAGTCAGCTTGTCCGACACAAACACACAACTACAGGTGAACAGAAACCTATAAAGACAAATTCCTACCTACAAAATCATAAGCAAAACACACTGCAGCAGTTCTCCAATCACACTGGAGCTGATAAAGTAAAGTGAGCTGACCCAGGAGTTTGTGGAAGTGCCTCAAGATCGGTGCTGGGGAAACCAAAGGACTGGTGGTGAACTTCCACAACGGTGACAAATCTCAAATATCTCATTACTAATTTTACATCCTCACTGCGCACGACTCCGGATACTGTAGCTCCTCTGAAAAAGAGACCCTCAAATCAGAAGTACTTGATAACCTATATCTGTAATCTATTGAAAAAGCCCTCCATGAAGCTTGGGCATCTTACTAGTCAAGTCAAGTGGCTTTATTGACATTCCAACCATGTGCAGTGGTACAGTACACAGTGAAGACAACATTCCTCCAAGACCATAGTGCTTCATATAACAGACATATAACAGGGCTAAACAGAAACCTAGGGTTGTTCCTCTTCAGCACTGTTTCTCTTCAGAACTTCAGGTTCTGTCAAGTCATGTTCTGTCAAGTCATATTTTGTCCACCCAACCACAAAGACTGTAAAAACTGTTCGTCAAGGTGGCAAAGGGTTTAAATCTGTTTTTGCTGACACTGTTTTTTCCGAGACTGTTCCTCTGCCTCTCTGTGCCCCCTGTTCTCAGGGTGACTGCGGTCCAGCCATCCCCTGCACCTGTATCAGTTTCTCGAGTGAGGGGGGCTGGTCCCTGCTCCGGTTTCCAGGCCAGCTGAGGCTCTGCTCTCTACACCTGTACCAGCTGGGGACAGCAGCTGCGCAGCCATTGCCAGTGCCTGTTCCGGCTCCCAAGGTGAGGATGACCATTAACCAGTTACCTCCTGCACCCATAACCACCCCTCGGGTGGGAGTGACTGGTGCCCAGTCGGCCCCGGCACCCATGCGGGTCCCCAGGGTGAGGCCAACCAGGAAACAGCCTACCTCTGCACCAGTAGCTGCTCCTCGGGTGGGAGCAGTTGGTGTCCAGCACCCATTCCGGCCGTTTCCTTTGTTTTCTTAGGAGAACAAGTAAAGCCACCTGCTAATCCACCACTTCATCCACCATTACAACAACCTCTACTTCTGTCACTAGTTCAGTCACTAGGTCAGTTATTAGCCCAGTCATCTGCTCTGACACCTGCTCAGCCATCTGGTCAGCCAGAAGTCAGCACCTGCTGGTCCTGCATCTGTTCCAGCTGGGGCCTCTGGAGAGCCGCGCCAGCCATCTGTGCCCACTGGCGGCTCTGAAGAGTCCGTCCAGCTGTCCACGGTTTTGACGCCATCTGCTGGCGACTCTCTGCAGTGTCTACCCAGCTGACTCTGGGGAGTCTGCCCAGCTGTCGTCTGCCTCTGCTGAGGACTCTGGAGAGTCAGTCCAGCCATCAGCTCCACCAACTACTCAACCATCAGATCAACCATCTGTGGCAGCCACGATACCATCAGATCCACCATCTGCAACAGCCATGATGCCGGCCATCCAACCGCCTGTGTCTGCTACGCCGCCATCTGGTCTTGTGTGTCTGGCCCTGTGCCTTCTGGCCCTGCTCATCCACAGCCTGCACGGCCTGCTCGTCCACGTCCAGCACTACACTGTTGCCGGCCACTTTCCAGGCCATTGACTGAGCATCTTTGTTGTCATTCGCAGCCTCCTTAACTATGTTGCCACCCCCGTTTCCCACGCAGTGGGCATCTGGACTTCACCTGCCGCTGCTTTCCTCACGGCCAGTACCCTGGACTGTCTCATCACTGCCGCTGCCTCCACAGTCGGCCTTCAGAACTGCTCCATTGCCACCACTGGCTCTGCGGTCAGCCTCCTGAACTGTGTCCGCTTTCCGCACAGTTGGCACCCTTTATTGTATAGGCCTGGATTCATGTAATGTCGACAGACAGTGGCACTTGTAGGTCGCTTTGCTTTCACTCTTCTGTCCAGTTCATCCCAAACCAGCTTGATGGGGTTTAAGTCTGGAGACTGTGCTGGCCACTCCATGTTTTCAAGGTTACCATCTTGCTCTTTTTTCCTGGGGTATCCTGGCATAGCTTGGACTTATGTTTTGGGTCATAATCTTGAAACCCTGACCAACTAGGTGCATACAAGAGGGTATTGCATGGCACTGCAGAATGCTGTAGTAGCTATTTTGGTTCAGGCCCTGGATACAGCAAAACAGCCCCAGACCATCACACATCCTCCTCTATGTTTGACTGTTGATCCAACAAACCTACTCGATGGCGTGCAAAGATCCTGCATGAACCAAAGATTTCAAATTTGGATTCATCAGTCCATGATACCTTCTTCCAGTCTCCAGTAGTCCAGTGGTGGTGTTTCACGGCCCAGACAGGCCTTTTTGTCTTATTCTGATGTTTTAGCAATGGCGTTCCTGTCAAACCTGCAGCTCGAAGTCTTCTCTTAACAGTTGAAACTGAGAGTTGCTTACTATGACCACTATTAAACTGTGCTTGAAGCTGTTGTCCTGCGAGCCACCTATCACGCAAGCTGTTAACTTTCAGTAACTTGTCCTGTGATTCAGTTGTGGCTTTGGGTATGCCAGACCTCTTCCTGTCAGAGTTTGCCCCAGTTTCTGAGTGCCTTTTGATGGTGAAGGAAACTGTACTCACTGACACCTGGACTTTCTTTGCAATTTCTCTGTAGGACAGACCTACACCTATTTTATAGAGCTATTTTTTAAGTGCTATGATGGCCTGTCTGTCTTCCATTGTTAATTGCTTTTTTCTCCCCATTTTTGTAGCAACACACTACTTTCTGCAGTACAATACTGTTCAACTGATGCTCACAAGGGTATGGCACCATAGTGTGTTCCAGCACTGCTTTTATGCAGACAGAGGGGGTGGTATGTAATCCAGAAAAGTTGGAACACCTGTAGGATTTAGTAGCTCCAGTTTTCAAGTCTTGATCAACCTCCATTGCTGCAGAGCAGCTTTAAATTGTTAACCCATGTTGTGTTCTCTGAAAAAGGCCTTTTTGTTTAGTTCTGAAATGTAAATAATTTTTCACTTTTGGGTAACCCTTTTCTAACCTCTGGCAGTTCACCACTTACCTTTGTACCATTTGAACTATTCATTGGACGTGAACAACTTGACTTGCAATAAATAACTGGAAAAATTGGGGTGTTCTAAAACTTTTGACTGATAGTGTATGTAATTTAAAAAAAAAAAAAAACCTCTCATCACTGAAGGTGGTCTATCCTTCAAGCTGAAGGAATATAATATATATAAGAGCTTGCTCTACTTCTTAGGCACCTTCTTGATTCCCCCTTCCTGCAGCTCCAATCATTGGCTAACTTCCTTCCATGCTACTTTGACCTTGGCCTCTAGTCTCCTTCGCCATGGAAGGTACTGCTCCTTGTGGCTGTTTATCTTGTAGCCAAGCATCTCACTGATCACTGCTGATCAGTGAAAAACATTAATACATGACATCTCACAAGTCAGGTTATACAGTCATTTATTGTACATGTTGCCGTGTTTCACATCTTGGCAAATTAAAGCAGAAATAATAAAAACTTTCTTTTAAAAAAATTCTGAGTAAAAAATTGCAGAAAATGAAAGTGATGTTGGTGACTGAAGAACAGAACAGTGAAAATGTGGGGAAGCATTCTTTTTTTCTTTTTTTTTGTCCTGGTACGCACTTTCAAATGCAACTTTGCAACCTGTGTTCATTTTAAAACTTGTAGCCAAGTTTAAATGGATAATAACCTTTGACATAAGATGAAATATTTTCAAGGGTAAGGACTACTAAGAAAATGAACTTGATGAACATAAGGAAATGCATTGTCTTTACATGTATGCAGTTGCCATTGACTGGTTTTAGGATTTAACGGTAGGGGAAGGGTTTGGTTCACATCTACCCTTTTTTATGTAATTTTGACCTACACCCTAATAAGATCTGATAAAGAAAGAACTATAAATGCATTTAAGAGACTTTTGAAAGGTAATATTTTCTAGTACTGAAAACATGGCAAAAATGCAATCTTATTCTAATCCTAGTAGGACAAACAATGGATGTATGGAAGCAGATTATTATGTTCTTTAGAATCATTTGCCATATTCTATACTTTAAGTTAGGAGTTGAAAAACTGCCATTAAAGTTTGATAATCGATGTAGTATGTTTTATTGCATTCTAGAAGGCAACTTTCAGATCACATCTCGTACTGTATATTTAAGCAGAAAAGAAATTTAATGTGTTGTTTTCTTATCCAGAAATCTTGCTAGAACTTGTTCTGAAATCCCATATCATATTTTCATTGTGGATGTTTCTCAGATACAGACTGATGTATGCAATTATTTGTCCTATACTGAACATAGAGACACAGAGGAGTCAATTGACAGCATCAAAGACTCGACGCCCAACCCAAACACAAAACCAAACCCAGCATACAGAGGTTCAGTGAATGTGGTTTCGAAGGTGTGGATTTGGAACAGTTTGTCAGAGGAGACTCTGTAGAAGGACAGAGTGCCAGCAGGATAATCCACATACACTGCTACTCTGTTAGAGACCGAAGAGGGAGGGACTGATCTGATTTTGTTATCATGGCAGACGGAGAAGCCACCATCAGAGCATCGCAGACACCACGACTGATCATTCATTCCAAACTTGCAGTCTTCACTGTTTCCTTTCCGTTTTATCCCTCTGTAACTTACGGCTATGTCAACTTCTCCTCTCCACTCCACCTCCCAGTAACAGCGACCAGTCAGGCGATTACTGCACAACAGCTGCTCCCTACGGTCAAATCTGTCTGGGTGATTGGGATACGTCTGCTCCTTCTCTCCTACCAGCATTACTTTTCTGTCGTTTTCAGAAAGTTTCAGCTTTCTGTGTGCTGTGTTTCTGTCCAGTGTAAGTTCACAGGCATCTGCCAGAAGAAAGAAGACACAGCTTTAAAATAAATGACATAAAAAATATTCAAATACAAGGTTTCAAAATATCATAAATTCCTATTAACAAAGTACATGCTTACATTTTCTCAGACCGGGTTTTAACCTTTGCTCTCCACAGTTTTCCACCCTGGGGAAAAAAAAACGACCCAGTTAGCTGATATGTTGTCTTATGAAAATTCATTATGAAAAGTGGAAGAGATGCTCTAAAATATAAGCTAATGTAGGACTATTAGCAGCCACCAACCAATCAACCACACATGCTCTCAAAACTGAAACTGAAAATGCTAACTTTTTTCCCAGCTTCACTGACAGTGTTAAATCTATAACAGTATTGTAGAGAAGGGCTAAATAGTGTAAATTAGACTTAATACATGTTGTCAAGTTTCAGAAGGGCTTAAATGCATGCTTGTTATACATAAAAAGGCAAAGAGCCTCCATGGCAAGTATCTTTTTTTAAAATTATTATAGTTTTTTACTAAAATCATCGGTGTCTTCATGAATCATACTTCAGAATGTCCAGTCTCCAGTGTGGATTTTTCAGTCCAGTGGACAGCAGTCCCACTCCTGAATCTCCTGGATGATTGTAGCTTAGGTCTAGCTTTCTAAGATGGGAGGGGTTAGATCTCAGAGCTGCAGCCAGAGAAGCACAGCCGTCATATCTGATTAGACAACCTGAAAGGCTGAAATTATTAAAAGAAATTGTATTTAAAACAGTGTTATAGGTAAGTTTAAGACATTGGTTGCGATATACTGTCACGG